CATCGTGGTATAATTTCTGCAGAATAGTGTCATCGTAAGTCATGTTTTCCTGTGGTATAGCACTGGCAGTAAACACCACTTGTGAATAAAGCACATTTAGTACCAAATCAGCTTTTACAGGTGTGATTTATGGAGTGCCTCTGCTTCCACAAAGGAGAGCCCCAGGGATGTGTGTGTGTGTGTTTGCATGTGTGGCTCGGTTCAGCATGTAGGTTTCTATACAGCCATACCTGAAGAGAGGTTGAGGTCTTATGACTGTAGGATGGGGGTTTGTTCTGCTGCAATTCAGTGAATGATGGATGTAATTGAGTTTGTGGTTGTGCAGGAGGCACGGTGGGGGTGTATACTGACCCTGCAGGATTTCTCTCACCGGGGTAAAAAGATTTAGGAATGGGCTTCGCCATATCTGGGCCATACTCTCCTTTCCCCCCTGCCATGTTTAGCACCAATGCTATGGTTCATTAGCTGCAGCTATACAGTGTATCTGGGCAGGGAGCCAGAGGATTGAGCTGTCCTGGGTTACACAGACAAAAATTGGAGCGTAGACTGTGAAGTGAATGTGGAAACTCTACAGGTGGCTGAAATTAAGTCATATAAAGAGAATAAATCTGCTCTGAAATATGGGAGGCTTTTGGTAGATGCCCTTGTGCTTGTGTGCAATAACATTTTGGCATGTTGAGGAGATACACCAGAAGTACTGTAGGCATGCCTGTGTGTCTAAGGCATGCACGTGTGTACATGTACACATGTAGCCCACAAGCGTGTGTTCTCAGTAAAGTGTCTAGATTCATGTGAAGTTGCAGACTTCTCCAATGGGTGCATAATTCAAGATTTGGCCATGACGACCACTTACAGAGAGTGGGTTAGCCTGGAATGAGGAGGAAGGGATGCAGGGCAAAGAGCCACAGAGTTGACAGACGGAGAGAGGTAGACTGAAGGTAGAACAAAGAAACAAAACAAATCATCCTGGGCTGTAAAAGTGCCGTCTCTGGCTCTGGGGTGAAACAAGAGATAGAGGGAGGAAAACATACAGAAAGTTCCTTCATTATAAGAGAGAGGCAAGCAGAGAGGAAGAGGAGAGTGGAATGGGAGGAGAAAAACATGAGTCTAGCAGTCTTATTCTGCCCTCTGCTGGACACTTTGAAACTTAAGCTGATGATAAACAGAGCAACTTTAAGAACAATCGTGCAGGGCAAAATTGCCGTCAATCTCCTTCCCCCACCACTCTGCCACCCGCCCTGCACCGCCGCTATCCGTTCAAAACATTGGACTTGCCACTAGCAAGATTGCCCAGCAATATTGCTCATAAAGTTGCCCCGTGTATCATCAGCTTCAGGCTACTAAAATAGCTTCATACTCAAATTGAGCTTCAGTGAGCAGTGGTGCACTCAACACTTACAACTTATGACCTCTCCCATAGTGTCTAGGCAGATAAATACCATTAAAACACCTCTGAAGTGTTGAGTGAACATATACTCTTGTTGATCAAGGTGATCTGCAGTCTACATTTCAGCTGCAACAATTTAACCCACCAGGTCTGACGGAAAAAAATAAACTGCTGAGAGCTGTGAGTGTATTCACACTCCTGCACCAAGGCGATACGCTATCTGCCTGCTTCATCATTACGACCCTCTCTGCTCAGTAAGGTCACGTCTGAGACGTTGTTTACAAGACAGTCTGTATCCCAGGGATGTGTAAGATCTGGGACCCAGGCTCTTTATTTATAACAGCTGGAGCGGAGAGATGTGGAGCGCTGACATTTGGCAGAGTGGGGTGAGAGGTCAAGTCTAACACCAATAAAGTGGAGACTTTGATCAAGGCATTTATGGATAGAGCAGGCACAGCACCCTGAGAGAGAGAGAGAGAGAGAGAGAGAGCGAGAGAGAGAGAGCATTTAGGCATTTAAAGGGGGGGGGGGGGGGGGGGAGTGATAGTATGTGTTTCTTTGGCTATTTGCTTTTTTTTCAATTAATCAACAAATCTTTTAGTCTGGAAAATGTTAGAAAAACAAGAAAAATGTGCATCACAATTTTTCAGAACCAAACAAGATGCTTGTTTTGTCCAAACAAAAGTTCCAAACCCCCTAAATATTCAGTTTCTAATGAGAAATGCATCCACTCCTCACATCTCAGAAGCTGAAACAAATTTTTTTTTCTTGATTAAACTACTTTCTGAGATTGTCTAAATGATTGATTTGACTTATCATTCATCAAGCCTTTTTAATTTGTGCGGACATGATTTGTGGCTGGCCACTCTGTCTCACAGCATTCCACTTGGACTTCCCTGATATGAATCCTGGGCAGGGTCATACCTGTAACCAGGATTTCGGAAATACTGACGTCATGAACCTATGTCCTCCCACTGGCACACACTGCTGCTCCATTTAAAACCATTCGTTTTTGCATCTGTCTGTTTTGAATCCCCCAACATTATGCAATTACAATACTTAACTGCTGGTGTACCCCTTTAAGTTTAATTTTCCCTTTAATTTCCAACGTGGATGAAAAGTCACATCTGCTTCCTCAGTACAGCTACTAAACTGACCTTGAGGAGAAATTGTTTTGTCAAATGTTGATTAATACTGTTTCAAAGCCTTCTCCGCACCGCGTAGTGGTAGTGAGTACATTTACTAAAGTACAAATTCAAGGCACTTGTACTTCTGTATTCCCATTCCATGCAACTTTATAATTCTACTCTACAACATCTCAAGGACGAACATATACTTTCCACTCCCCTTAGTCAACTTTAGTTACCAGTTTCAGATTACAATTCTTCATACCCTTCCTGTCCAGGGGAAAGGGGGGTCAGGGAGTAGGCATTACATCAATAAATTACATTTTATTTTTCTAAAGACAATCAGCCTAAAAATAAACAGCCCTCAAAACCCACCCTAAGAAATTTGCATGGAATTAATTTACTAATTTCAGTTCTTACTTTTATTTATTAACTTTTGAATGCATTTAACAATTGAACAATGTTTTTTCAAGTTTAGAAAAAAAGAAAAAGATAGCCGCAATGATTGGAATCCAAGCAAGTCGCGAAAAATGCAACATTTAACATTTTCAGAGGAGAAGAACAGATAGAGATGACTTAAGAGATTAAAGTGATGAAAGAATTTGGACATTGAGATAATTGGGGAAACTCAAACATTTTTACAGCATCGCCTTGAGATTGGAGAGTGTCATTAAATGTCCCTGTCCCTAGTATGTTCAACCCACCGGTGACATTTTGTGTTTCCAAGGTTTAAAGTTTAAGCTGCAAAAACACTTTTAAGCAGAGAAAAATAAGAAGAAAGTGCTAGGGATCCAAATAAAATAGAGAACTTAGACTCGCTATGATCTGAACAACCCTGTTGTGAGCAAGTCTGACTCGGTCACCTGGGGATTTGAACCCTGGGACTCAAGACCTGCAGAGTAGCTGACTTACTGACTGAGCTACTGGTGAAAGGCTGTTCCTTACACCTTCTTACAAGTTGAGGTAGTGACGTCACGTGTGCCAGACCTGGATAATTTTGTCAGTTTAAACTTAAAACGCCTACAACATCCAAAATGTTGGTGAGAAAATTCTGAAAAAATCACACATCGTTCTGCTGGTATTGGGTGTACAGTCAATTATTTTGATGGCATTTAATCTGAAACTGAGCAAAACAGAAAATGTTGTGCATACTGTACAAGTTGTAGCAAGATACTGAATATCACTGCAGACTCACCGTTTGACCGATCTAAAAACCCTTTAAAACACATATCAACAGCCATCTAGAGAATGTCTGTGTTGATTTTGGTAGCGTTTGAAGAAAGACTTGTGGAGATATAGATGTTAATTGAATTAGCATATTCCAGAAAATATAGAGTGACTGACTTCTGAATTGACCATAAGTTACAGCGAGGCAAACGTTTGTAACATATCAGTGGATGTGCTGAAAAGATTTCAGCTCTCTAGGATGTACGGGTTATTTTCTTAGATTTTTTTGAATTTTGGAATGAGAAATGTCTAGAAATTTATGTTTGTTGTAATAAGCCACGCCCATTTTGAGCAATCTGCCAAATTTTATGCATCAACTGAGTAGTGACTCTAGATCGTAGAAAGCGAATTTTGTACGAATCCATGCAGCGAATTGCAAGGTATAAACTTTTTGCAAGTATAGTGCCCTCTAGTGGAAGAATATCTGCTCAGTGAAGAACTGACCCACCTGAACAGACCAAGTTTGGTGACAATAGCCGATTTTGATGGCATTTATGTAAAATTGTATGTAACACAAAAGTAAAAATTTATGGAAAAAAAACAGATTGACGTATTAAAATTATTTTGATAACTTTTGATCAGCCACATCCGTATGTGATCCTGCCAAAGTTTCAGGTTGATTAGCGAAACCGTCTGGGACGAGTTTGCAAAAACAGGTTTTAGAGAAAAGTGATAAAAAGTTGCATAATTTGACATTTTTGTTATGAATAATGAAATAAGTTTTGACCAAGCCGTTTTCGAGATAATTGCGAAAACGTTATACCGGAAACATGAGGTCTATGAGTGCCATTTTTTTTGCCTGAGTAGTGGGTGGAATTTGTAATCTACCTGACAATTTTGGAAGAGTTTTCGTGCAGCAGTTTTTGCTGCCCAAAGACTTTTATCAGAGAAAAAGAAAGAAGAAGAATGAGAACAAAAACAATAGGGCTACAGCTGCTTCGCTGCTTGGATCCCTAAAAACCCATCTTTTTTATATGGACAACCACTAGCAGGCGGTAACTCCACACTCGGCGCAGGACAGGTGAGCCATCAACAACACCTTCAGCGAGCAGAGTGATGCATCATGGTCAGTATAGTGGCAGACGCCTCTTTCTTAACAAGAACTACAAATTAACCATGTGACACACCAAACCAACAGTGACAGGTTGAGAGGTCGCGTGCTGTGTGTGTGCGCGCTCTCCCTGACAAGTAGTATGCGGAAGTTGTGCTTGTACCTCCCCCTCTCTGCTCCTCCTCCACGGCATGTCAGTGTTTTGGCTTCCTACTTACTGAATGCTAGTAAAGCAGGTTCACACCGTGACAGTGCGGCGTTTCTATGCGGGCTGACAGTAAATGTTTGCGCTGCGTGGCGGGAAGTCAAGTTAAGTCAGGATGAATGCAGCAGAGCGCAAGAGTTGACAGCGAATTAGATTTTAACTATGAATGTGTAACAGCGCTGTTGTTGTTGCTGAAGTGGGCGTGAATGCTTTTTAAAATCTGTTTTATTTTGTTTCGCTTCTCGAGTGATTTTTATTTTCGAGGTTAAACTAGACAAGTTCGATAAAAAATGAAGTTTAACGGTTATCTGAAGCTCCGGATCGGCGAGGCTCTTGACTTGAAACCGACCACTTTTTCCATCCGCCACTCTGGCATCTTCAACAAATCCCCTCCAGGCCTGGACCCCTACATAGTGGTGAAGGTGGACGACTACAAAATTGGACAAACTCACACCAAGCAGAAAACCAACATGCCGACGTACAACGAGGAGTTCTGCCTCAACGTGAACGACGGGAAACAGATTGAGCTGGCGGTTTTCCACGACACTCCAATCGGATATGATGACTTTGTGGCCAACTGCATCATCCAGTTTGAGGATCTCATCAAAACCTCCAACACGGGGGAGACTTTCGAGGGATGGGTGAGTTAAAAAGTAAACACATCATGAAAACAAGGCAACAGTTATGTTTTCCAGTCAGGATTAACCTATTAGGATGCTGATACTTTGTGTTACGAAAATCAGTTAATATATAATCATGTAGGGGAGAGCAGTGTGTCATCATTTACATTTAGATTTACTCATTTGGGAGACGTTTATATCCAAAGCGACTTACATTTGAGGAAAAACATACAAACATCAACAAAGCATCATTACAGCAAGAGATCTACAAAGTGACAAGACATTTAAGAGCTGAATGTGTCTCATCACATGCATTAAAACACAAGACCTTAAACTACACTTGCAAGCATGCACACTAGGGGTACAAGAACCCTGACACAGCTCTGAACCAAAGGGCACTGACCAGAGGGAACCAGGAGCCTCTCTGACTAAAGCTTAAACAGGTTGTTTAACACATGTTTGTTCATATGCACTGTAAATAAACCTATAACAACTATTCATTTAGTTTCCTCTTTGAACTAACAAGGAGATCGCAGCTGGCATTAGGGTTGAACAAGATGCAAAAAAAACAAAATCATATTGCGATATGAGGGAATGGTAATTTTTGCATTTCATTTCGATGATGATGATGTGGTCTCTGAGGACTTGAGCAGGTTCAGGAAACAACACATGCTGTTAAGCCCGGGGCACTGTTCACTACACATGTCACTGCCACTCTGAGGAACTTTGCCTGTTTTTCTGCCTGAAAACATCAACACTGCCTTGTCTGCGCCCTCCTACTCTCTTGACAAGAGATCTGCACGAGCACCCGAAAGCACAGGCTTACTAAAGAGCGACACCATCACACATTCACACTTTCATGTCCTTAGTGTGGGCAGTGCGCAGTGGACGTGGAGCTTTTTCAGATCTTGCTCTTATCAGCTTAGGAGCCTTTTCTGTGATCATCAGTGAGTATGGTATTGAAACCACAGATACCGCTGCTGTGATGAGGTGTGAAGTTTGCTGGCAGGGTACTTACAAACTCACATTGCCTTGGCCTGCTAAGCGTTTGACCTGCCTTTACAAACAAATGCATGGTGATAAGATCCCCACAATTCTCCTTCCAGAAGGTAACCATACTTTACATAGGTGTAAAGGAACAGACAGTCTTTTTAAACTTCAATACATCTAATGCAAAGTTGACAAGTCAGGGGGAAAATGGACCTCATCAAAGCTCAGATTACATGTAAAACATCACAGTAGTTTCACTCACATTAAGACACAAACAAAAAAACTTCCTTCAAACTGGAGTTTCCGTACTTCCTTTCAGCCCCCTAGGACTATAAGCCGCTGCAGGTGTTCGTGAATGTAACCTGAACAGGTCCAGGCCTGGGGCAGACTGAGGCAGCATTGCCCACCTGCAACACACTCATCACATGATATATTCTCCTTCAGCCTGTGCAGTTTCAGTCAATTATGCAAATTTTTCTGGGGGAAAAAAGTCAATAATTGTATCTAAAAGTTAATTAAATCACCCAGTGGATTTATACTATGCAGCAAAACCCTTCATTTCACCAGTGAAAGAACTTCACACGCTCAGAGTTTTTGAGAAATTCAGTCAAAGGGTACACTACACAGACTTTACAGTAACCATCAAACCAAAAGCTTGATCAACATTTTACATTGAAGAGTAATGCCTCAGTACCACACACATGTGTACATGGCATGGTGTTTGAGAAGTGAAACTTAACGCTTTGGTCAGTCCATCTTAAAGGAACTAGAAGTGATCACAGAGGCATACTCAAAGCATCACCCACTCCATTAAAGATAATTTATGTTTAGGACATATATTTAAGCAGGTGGTAAATCACTCAAGAATTAAAAAAAAAAAAAACACGAGACAGCCTTGCACACGCTATCACCGAGACCCCAATCATGGAGGGGAAGTGGTATGAAAATGGAGCCCTGTCGGCAGTTTTGAAAGAAGTAATTTGTTAGTGCGTTAAGCTTTCTCACTTCAAGACACAAGCTTGAGGTTGTTATCGTCATAGATCTGAACTGTGAAGCGTTTTTTTTTGTGCTTTGTTACACAGAAAGAAGTGCTGGGCTGGTTTGTTTCACACATGAGGCAGCAGAGGCTGAGGCACAAGCCTCCACACGCCCACACTGCCGTTGATCACTGCGTTCCCACCATCTGATCAAGGCTTAAGGGCTCACTGTCAAAATACTTACTCTCTTTTGGCTCTTATCCAGATGTTCTACTTTCACCCTCGCCTCCTTTCAGCGCGTTCACCCCCTTCTGAGCACACAAGCTCCTTTCTGCTGTTAAGTGGAACATAAGAGGTTCTGATAAAGTTGAGCTTGTTTCTTGTAGTGAAGTTATTGTCGGGACTGACATCATCTGTTTGAGACATTCAGTATATGACATTTAGACACGTGAGGCCAGTTTCCTTTGCCTCCCAACTACTGAGACTACATGCCACTATATTGTGACATATTTGACTTGTGACTCCAGATAAATGAGCTCTTTAATTTCCCAATACATTGGCTATAATCAGGACTGACGTATCTGTGGCATTGGAGTTGTGTCTCAGGCATAAAGTGATCAAGTCCTTCTGAGGAACACTGAAACTGAAAGTGGGTTAAATATGGCCCCTCAGCATTTTCAAGCAAAGTGTACTGCTAGCTCGAGTGAAACGGGCCCCATCCCCTGTGTCTAAAAAGAAAAAGAAAAAGAAAGAACAAAACAAAAAGAAGAAGAAGCTTCCACCTCTGTGATTCAGCATTAAATGTTCTGCTTTTAAATAACACCATCATGCTGCTATCACCATCTGTTTTAGATCAGATCTGCTCTACCTTAATGGAGATGTTCAGATTCAAGTCTGTCTTAAAACAAGGCCTGTATGTACACTGAAAGAGTTATGCCGTTGTACTTGTTCGTCCTGTTGACCTCTATGGTCATGTAAGTGATGGGAGAACAAAATCCACAGTTCTGTGTTAAGATACACTATAAAGTCAAGCCAAAGTCAAGCTGGACTTTTCACGGACTGTCTTTGTGTACTTATGTACATGTGGAATATTGTCTCAGACTCCTTTTGCAGAGCTGAGCGTCTTTCATTGGAGGAGACGGATGTTCACAGTGCAGCTTTTTAATTATTTCCTAAAGCTTGGCCAGTGTAAGCAGCAAGGGTGAAAATACCCAAGGTAACATTTGAGGAAGACAGTGGACCAGTCAAACATGCCGTCTAGACTGTAGATTGAAACACAGGATATGAACAGGTAACTGAAAACAAAAGCGGAGCCTTTTGAGAAGAAGTGAAATGTTCTCTTCCTTGAAATGAAAGTTTTACACTTCATGTACCAACTGAGTCGCCACTGTTGACCCCGTAATGTGTCACTGTTTTGTGGGCAGACAATATTTTCCAGGCGTGGTGTATGAGTAACATAAATAGATCCTCATTTAAGCGCAAAGTGACCTAAGTTTCCATTCAGCGGTTGCTGTGGGAAGTATATTGTTCTGTCAACTCCGTTTCTGTCCGCCTCCAAAAAGACCCTCTTTTGTATTTACAGCTTTTAGTTTTGTACTCAAACATTTGTAAGTCATCAACTCTCAGCTGAGCCTCAAGTCGACACAACCAGCCCAACCTGCTAGACCTGCCATGTCCAAATTTCTGACATTACACACACACACTAAAGAATGCAAAAATATGCAGTCACATACCTGCATCTTGTCTATAGTGACAGCTGAAGGACTGATGGTCAGATGTCAGATACCATCTTGCATGCTTTAACAGGAAAGCACATTCAGACACAGACTTTTTTTTACATATATCACAAATAAAATAAACAATTTTCAATCATAAGTTGAAATACACTATAAAATACAAAATAAAATACAATGCAATACAAATATAATTTCAAAGGCATCAAATTGGCCATATTTCTGAATTCCTTTTTGTCTACTATAGTTAGTTTGGGCTATGTGTTATGTATGTTAGGTTACAGATTATTCTTTCTAATGAATTGGTATAATTGTGGTGGATCTTAATACCTGTCTGTACTGTTTCTGTTGAGCTTCTTGAGTATACAGATGTCTAATAGTGTTTTTGTGTGTCTGCAGATGGACTTGGAGCCAGAGGGCAAGGTTTACATTCATATTACACTCTCTGGATCCTTCACTGATGGTAAGGCTGCTGCTGTAGATTAAATTGCAGCCCAGTTTTTCTCCCCATGCATTAATACCGCTTTTGTTTGCTACATTTATGGCAACTCAGTTAGTCACTGTCTTATCCTTTCTTGTCTGTGAAACCCTGCCTACTATTGTGAATAATTATTATCTGTGTGCCATTTCACACATACAAGTGCATGTGTTATAAAAGAGGCTCTCGGTATAGGTGTGTGCACATGTTTCTATGTGACTCGAGTAGTTTGGTATGTGCCAGCCAGGAATGCTTGTTTGCTTTCTTCTGACATTAGAGGACATCAACAATGAGGGCATCTGTAGTTTAAATGTGTACATGATCTTTTAACCAACGAGATGTAGCCATGTAAATAAAACAAGCGAGAAGTGGCTGGTCTTTTGAGGCAGTAGTCTGGTTAGCTGGTGACTAGTTTCCCTCTGTTAAGTTCCCCTTTTTTTTTTATCTTCCGCCATCATGCCTCACTGCCTGCCAGACCTCATGACATACATACATTTAATTTACCTTTGAAATACTTGACAAATGCATTGCATATTGAAGTTGTTTAATTTTCTTTCCTACTGCTGGAAACTAGTGGAACATCTTCACACATTCTCCGAAATGTACCAATTTTTTTGTGACAGATATATATGTCTAGACCTACCAAAAAGCCTCTTTGAGCAATTCCCTTTTTTTGCGATTTACACGTTACGTACTTTAGCGAACTCCTCCTTCAGAATGAATCCAATCAACTTCAAAATTTTGCTGTGCAGTCTAAAGGAATTGACGATGACAAATTGTGCTCTCTGTGAGTTTTTGTCAAAGGGAGTGTCTGTAGCGTCACATTGAAAATCAATGAAGTTGTTGTAACGTCACTGTACATGCTCGAATCTGTTCCAAACTTTACATTCGTCTTAAGGGTCCCGCTCTGAACACATCTACATGCCATTATTCAGTTATAGTCATAATGCCACCTACTGGCAACAGGAAGTAAGCGCTGTTTTATAATCATCATATCATTTACATGAAATGTTCATAGTGTGGTCCACACAACATGATCTGGGACAAAAAGTGCATTGCTCTCTAGCACCACATAAGTGACAGAGGAAGTGAAATTTAACTCCTTTGTATGGCATCAAAAGCACATGATAATTCTGAGCCGCGTTGATTACCTCTGGAAACTGCACAGCGGCTGCAACAAGCCCCACGTGCATCGTGGTGCAAGGGCCCATCCAATGATGCTTGCAGCTTTAATTGGTAATTAATTTTATGTTTTTTATGTTATTTTTGTTTAATGTGATTTAATTTACAGCTCAAATGTTATCTCAGTGTGTTCCCCTGCTCTGTTATCGTCACCAACATTTTCACACTTCCAGGGGATTTTGCTAAAATTCCCTGGCACACTGCTGTGAAATGGCATCTTTTTGTTTTACACCTTTTGCTGGGATGTATGTTTCCCAGCAAAGCACCACACTGTCATAAAACTATCGGCAAACATCACAATTTACTCACCTAACTTTTTTGTGTACATAGTGTATAAGTCACATTATTGGAAAGGTTACTATTTCTGAAAAACAGACAAGTTCTGACATGTTCACTCTATCTGTGTGCTGGTCTACCTCGAGGGGGATGCATCAGCCAACAAATATAAAAGAAAATACAAGCTTGTGTATGACTACCAGTGAATGCACCATTCTGGCAATTTTTTTAACACAATATTGATAAGAATATTTTCTGATACTGATGTTTGCCATCATATGTCAAAGTCCTGCCAAATCACACAAACTAATCAAATGATTGTTTAATGCAATAACTTGCTCCACTACTATGTGTTACATCAGACAAAACCTTTTGTTCACGTAAAACACAAATGACTTACATTAAATTGTCCTTCTGACTTGGCAAAACGATAACACAGTATGTTCACATCATCACGACAAGATAAGATTGATAAGTAACATATATAATAATTTCCTGCTTTAGTCAATATGCACTTCTAACTGTCATGTAAACTTTTGAAGACAATGAAATACATAGACAAAAATCTTCTGGTCAGGGGAATCTTTTTGGTCTGATGCAACAAATAAATGTTTATCCGATAGATTATTAGATTATTACTAGACCTTTTAACAGGGAAAAACTTTTTATACAGTGAATGTGACTGTAAAGGGCCCTTTTCACACTTCTACCACAAATATATGTCATTTGCAGGGGGGGTGGCAGGGGCTTAACAGAAAGGTTTCCAAAATGCATTTGTGGTTTTCACCTCACAAATAACTCTTCAGTTCTGCTATGTGTAACTACAGATACACAGAGCTTAAACACAAATGCAAATGTGCACAAAGGCAAACAGATATGGGCCCAAGTCTCATTCATTTAAAAAACTAAAATCTATTTGTGGCATAAAAAATTATGTTTTGAAACTTTTGTCATGCTACAGTTGGGGATGGAGTCATATGATACAGAAATTGATTGATCATATTCTTATTGATATCAATATGGAAAATAATTTGTTAAACAATGTGTAGTTGGTAGCTTCATGTCAAACAGGACATTGGACTGGACATTGGTAAAAATTTGAAAAATCATTTTGGGGAACATTGGCCTTGTACTGAAACACATCTGTTTCCCTTATTGATTTTTTAAAGTTATTTGTCAAGCAAAAATGCCAAACATGAGCTTGTTCTAGCTTCTTAATTTGAAGATTATCTGCGCTTCATTGTTTTGTTATTCTAAATTGAGCATCTTTAAGCCTTGTGCCCTTTCACATAAATCTGATGGCAATTTAACATGTTAGTCTTGTGTCTGAATAGAAGTCCAAGTCACTTTTCCATAAAGTCACAACGGAGCAAAGCAAGCAATTTGAAGACGTCGAGTTGGGTGAAATTGTGATGGCCATTTTTCACTAATTACTGACATTTATTTTACATTTACTCATTTGGCAGACGCTTTTATCAAAAGTGACTTACATTTGAGGAACAACATCCAAATCATCAACAAAGCATCAAATACAGCACGACATCTACAACTGACAATACATACTAGTAAGAGCAGCAATAAATACCAGTAAGAGCTAATAGCACATATTGCATCAATGGGGTAAATACACAGGGAAAGAAGAGTTGACAAAAAAGTGCAATCAGTACAAGATAATTGTAAGGTGATAGAAAAAGAAGACAACAGGAAGTGCATATTAGAGGTTAGGAGTTAGAGGTGTTATAAGAGAAAGTGCTCTTGGAAGTTTGTTTACCAAACAATTAATTAAAAAAAAATTTATATTGTTTTCTGGATTTAAATGTAACACTGATATCATCTTTTAAGTTGACTTGCCAAAATTGGCCAACATTTGCCTATTTACACTTCCAGCAAATATTAAACAAATGGCTCTCTACACCAATTCCTGAGGGAAATATCTGGCTTTTTAACTGCTAAATAACTCCACAGTTTTCACCAGCTAGTCATTAACTTTTCTGTCTGCTGTTCGGTGCTGAGCAGGTAGTGTACAGTGGGTGTTTAGTGAGAGCTTTGCCTGCTGCAGCCGAAAATATAAAAGCAATGAGAGTGAACTAAAACGGTGAAATTGGTGGGTCACAAAGTGAATACGATGAGACGAAAGATGTTAAAGAGCTCTATAGAGTCAGGCGATGATTGTTTGTGGGTTTGTCGCTACAAGTTGCCCCTTTCACATGCAAGGGATGTAATCCATTGCTAATACGGAAATATTGATAGCTGCTTTAAAGAAATTACACAGTATGATAACAGTGATCCATTCCAAACTAATGTATTTTCCACTCTTTACTTTTAGTGGTATTGGGTCTAGGAATTAGTGTATGGATTTCTGACTTAATGACACCAACACTTAACATTTGCTCTCATTTTCTGTCAGACGACGCCATAGTGAAAGAGAAGACCTACAAGCAGTTCACACGGCAGCGTCAGGGGGCTGTGAGACGGAGGATCCACCAGGTCAACGGACACAAGTTCATGTCCACTTTCCTCCGTCAACCCACCTTCTGTTTTCACTGCAAAGAGTTCATCTGGTGAGAAAGTCAAGAAAGGACGAATCACTGCTTACCGCACTGCTTCCATCTGTGTGGACTGTAAACTGGATCTGATTGTGTCTCTGTCTGTTATAGGGGTGTTTTTGGAAAGCAGGGTTATCAGTGCCAAGGTGAGCAGACCCTTATTTTCTCTTTCTGCCTTTTGACATGGTTGCTTAAACATACAGACACGAGTTTGACATTTGAGTGGTTGTCTTCTCAGTGTGTACTTGTGTGGTTCACAAGCGTTGCCACCAGCAGGTCGTCACTGTGTGTCCACGCATGAAGAAGCCAACAAAGGAAGAGGTAAGACACTTGAATCAGCCCAACAACGCTCTTTCTGTGCAACATCAGTATCAGTGTGCTACAATAAGAAGGATTCCTTGTCTCAACAGACCAATCAGATCATAACCGTGGAATCAGGGTGTCAGAAGGTTTCAGGCACTCAAGCATGCTGCTGCTGTTATTTTTTACCTCTCAAGCAGTTTTTTTTTTTTTACACAGGATGTGCAAAAGATAGCAGACCTCTAAGACAGCCCCCTCCTACACACTCACACACACCTGCAGACTGTACGGGTTCCTGTTTCTGCGTTGGGCTGGTCACTGAGCCAGAACACTATACTACACCATGTGTTTTTATAAATACATCGGTGCTTGTTTCAGCATTTGAACATGTAATCTTCGCTCTGTTTTACTGTATTTTGCTGAACATTACAAGTTTCTCTTCCTAAGAAGAAATTCAGAGAAATGCTAATGCAGCAATAAACAGAAACAAGGTCCCAGTATGACAAAAATCAGAACTGAACATTTTTGACAATCCACTGTGGCAGTTTAAGGTAATTTAGAATATTTGTAGCTGCCATTGAGCAACACTTACTTGGTTAGTTTACAGTATGTCTTTTCTCCGCAGCCCATAAACCAAGGCTTCAGCATCAACATCCCTCACAAGTTCAACATCCACAACTACAAGTCGCCCACCTTCTGTGACCACTGTGGCTCACTGCTGTGGGGAATAGTCAGGCAGGGGCTGCACTGTAAAAGTAAGGCTTGTGTCAACGTTTGTCTCTCAAAATCAGGATCTCAAATGTCCTAATTTGCCTTTGGAATTGAGTGTTCCTCTCTGTGTGATTTCTCTTTTCAGTCTGCAAAATGAACGTCCACATCCGCTGCAAAGGCAACGTTGCCCCCAACTGTGGGGTCAACAGTGTGGAACTGGCCAATACGCTCGCACAGATGGGTCTGCAGGCTGAAGGACTGTCTAAACGCAACTCTGTGGTACAAAGGCAGAGTTTTCCAGAATGAGTCAAATTAGTTAATTGTACTTAAATGTGGTTTTAATCAGGCTGATATGTGTTTGTTTTTTGTTTTTATTTGTTGATAGACCAAAGGTGCAGGTCAGAGGGAGCCCTCTGTACGGAGGGAGAGTATGGTCAGTCAGCAGGAGACACCTCGGCTGGGAATCTCAGACTTCACGTTCCTTCAAGTCCTTGGCAAGGGCAGCTTTGGCAAGGTGTGAATGATGAGAGGAAAATGAAAAAATGCTGTTTGTGATGAAATGATGACCAAGGCGAAGAACGAGGAACCCGGCAGAATATGGGAATATGTAGAGTATACTAGAGGAAAATGTGCCTAGTCTGGTTAAATCAGAACTATTTTATAGATATTTTCAAAAGATTTGTTATGTGATGCATTAGCATTTCAACTATTAGAACATATGTAGGTAAATAAATAAACCTCATCTGTTCTGACTCTGGAAAAACCTGTAAATCCTTATCTTTGGTGCTCTGTGTACGTTGGGTCTGCAGGTGATGCTGGCGAGACTAAACAACAAAGATCGGGTTTTCGCGGTCAAGGTGTTGAAGAAGGATATCATTTTGCAGGATGATGATGTGGAGTGTACCATGACAGAAAAGAGGGTGCTGTCACTGGCCCGCTGTCACCCCTACCTCACACAGTTGTTCTGCTGCTTCCAGACATCGGTCAGTGCACATACGCACACCTGCACGTGTGTGACAGTTAACACAAGCACCTTGCAAAGATTATTTTAAAAAATAACACTTTTAACCAGAGAAAAATAAGAAGAAAGTGTCATGGAATCATGGGATAACATAGAGACCTTAGAGTCACTATGATCTGAACACTCCCATTGTGAGCAAGTCTGACTCGGTCACCTGGGGAGTCGGGGACCCTGAAACTTCAGATCTCCAGAGTACGTGACTTACTGACTGAGCTACTGGTGAAAGGTTTCTGCACACCTTCTCACAAGTTGAGGTAGTGACGTCACATGTGCCAGACCTGGTTAGTTTTGTCAGTTTAAACTTAAAACGCCTACAACAGTCAAGAAAAAAAAATCAATTATTTTGATGGCATTTGATTCATAACTGAGCAAAAAAGAAAATGTTGTGCATAATGTAAAAGTTACAGCAAGATACTGAATATCACTGCAGACTCACCGTTTGACCGATCTAAAAACCCTTTAAAACACTTGATTTCGGCCATCTAGAGAATGTCTGTGTTGATTATGGGTAGTGATTGAAGATATACTTGTGGAAATATAGATGTGTTGAATTAGCATATTCTGAATAATATAGAGTGACTAACTTCTGAATTGTTTGTCACATATCAGTGGATGTGCTGAAAAGCTTTCAGCTATCTAGGATGTATGGGTGATTTTCTTAGATTTTTTAAGTTTGAGAAATTTATGTTTGTTGTAATAAGCCACGCCCACTTTGAGCAGTCATTGACAAATTTTATGCATCAACTGAGAAGTGACCCTAGATCATACAAAGCGGATTTTGTAAGAATCCATACAGTGAATTATAACGTATAAACTTTTTGCAAGTGTAGTGCACCCTAGTGGAAGAATATCCCAGGACTCCTCAGTGAAGCTCAGACCGAGCACCTGAACAGATGCGTCAAGTTTGGTGACAATAGCTTAAGCCAATTTTGATTTAGGGGGATTTATGTAAAATTGTACATAAAGACACAAAAGTAAAAATTATGGGAAAAAAAACAGATTTATGTATCAAAATAATTTTGATAAGTTTTGATCAGCGTTGTCCATAGATCATCCTGCCAAAGTTTCAGGTCGATTGGCGAAAATAGGTTTTAGAGAAAAGTGATAAAGAGTCACCCAGTTTGACATTTTTAGAGCAGAAGACCATTGGAGCAAAGATGCAGATGAATGATGAAATGATTAAAATGATGAAAGAAGCCTTGACCAAGCCGTTTTCAAGATAATTGCAAAAACGTAAAGTTGGTTGTTACAGCGCCACCATGAGGTCTATGTGTGCCATTTTTTTGCCTGAGTAGTGGGTGCAACCGGTTTTGGTAACCAAACACTTTTAGCAGAGAAAAAGAAAGACAGAAGAAGAATGAGAACAAAAACAATAGCTAAAGTTGTTACCCTGTTTAAATACCTTGTATGCCAGTTTAAATGTTTTTTTTATACCACTAAAAACACTGTATGGTAATAACGCTTTGTTCCCTTTTACAATTTTACATAGACGCCTAAAAATCATCTTTAAATATTTTGAAGCACTACAGTACTTAGGTGGTCTTAATGTGGCAGAGTTTCCATTCTTACAGCATTGCTTGCCAATAAATTCACATACAGATACAATAAATGTATATTGTACATGCTAGTAAATGGCATGGCCTTCGCTTGAGTGAAATATCAAGTATTGCTCCATACAGTGTATCCATTCCAGTTTTTAGCTGTGTCCAAATTCCATACTCTCTCTACACAGTGTGTTCACTCTTTCTAATAAATCTGAGTGAAAAAATGCTGAGGGTGTACATTAATGTTTCACAATACAACGCACAAAGGGAATGGATGGAGCGTATATGAAGTTTAATCAGTATTGGTATTACAAATATATGTCTGGCAAGGCACATATTGCTTTAGTTGACTAAGGGCATTGATTGTTTTTTGTACATTAACCACACAAACAGTACAGTTAGACATATTGTAGTTAGCGGCATGTAGTGTGGCAATGGGGCACAGCATTGTAATGTTTAAATTGGTCATTAGGTGGCAGCAGTTTGCCAGTCTTGTGCCCGAGAGAGTGCGTGTGTGTGCGTGTGTGCGCTTGTGTGTGCGCGTGTGTGTGCGCGTGAGGCTCGGCTGAGCTGTTATTCCTGGCACAGACGAGACACTCCTAATCTGTTGTTTGAGCCGCCACTGACGTACTTCACCTTGGGTCAAAATAGAGCAGCACGAAGTAAACAATTGACTCAGTGACACTGCTCCCCCGACCCATCCAAACCCATACACATCCACAAAATAGTTACTGTTCCAACACTGTACCTCACCTTCACTTCTTCAGAGCATGTAGTTACTAAAATGATTTAGAATTTTATCTTGAAAGTGCCTGGGATAATTTGCAATTTTTTACATTTTATTACAAGGTTGCTATTGTTACATTGATTGTATTTTGACTATCTAAAGAGTAATTATACATATACAAAAATATACAAAATATTACATAACACTGGTCCTTAAATCACTTCTTATTTGTCAAAGGTTAGACTTTAAAATCCTATTACTTGTCTATAAAGCACTAAATAGTTTCAGGCCTACATATGTATCTGACTTACAGGTTCGTTACAAAACATCCAGACCCTTCAGATAATCTGGAACAGGTTTACTCAGTGTTCCCAGGAAAAAAAACAAGCAAGACGAAGCAGCTTTCATTTTCTACCCCCCCCCCAACCCGAGGTCTGTTAAAACTGTCAGGTCATTTACTGCAGCATTCCAACAATTTAGACATAACTTCTTTTTAATCAACCACTTCTTATTTATTAATTTGCTTCCTTTTTTTTTTTTTTTAGCTCTTATTTTAATGTATTCCTATTCTTACTATATCTCTGTAAAGCACTCTGAATTGCCTTGTGTCTGAATGGTGCTGTTTAAATAAACTTGCCTTGACTTGCCTTGGAGAAAGTCAGAAAAGTCTTTTTGGGATAACTAAACTTTGGAAATTCCAGAGGCCACCATTCATTGGATGTGAATTTATAATGACCATCCCAGGAAATGGCATCTGTGGTTACTTTAATGAAAACAAATTCTCATTGTTGTATTCATTTGAAACAGTGAGCCTGGTTTTTGTGATAAAATGGTAATTGCACCCGGAGCTCAACAACTATCATTTAAAATGGTACATCTCAATAAGACAAAATAGAAATATCCAATCAAGAAACTGTTCTAGTGTGGATTTAAAGATTCCCACAGTTTTACAGCTGGACCACACACCGAGTGCTGCCTGCTTTGCTTGTGCAACACATTATTATTGAACATTAAACATATAATCTCAGGGTAAATACGAGCCCACTCTAAACCACAGAGCAGTTTAACAGACTCAGCTGTGGCTGAATATCCTGATCACTTCAGGAAGCTCTATGGGTGGATCTGTACGTCACGCTCTCCTGCAGTTTTTTTTCTCCATCGCATATCAACCATAGCCTGCAATAAGAAGATTTATGGGTTTGATCAGTATTTTATTTGACCCGCTGACTTTGAAGTGTGGTAATCCATTAAACAGACACGTGAAATTGATGAGAAGCAGACATGTCATCCTTGAAGCAATCCGGGCATATCCGTGGTCATGGGTTCTTGGACTGTTTAATAACGTGTGTGGTTTGTGTGCACATGTGTAAATGTCATCTCCTTGTATCCTTTTGCAGGACCGCCTCTTCTTTGTGATGGAGTTTGTGAATGGTGGCGATCTTATGTTCCACATCCAGAAGTCCAGGAAGTTTGAAGAGCCTAGAGCGTGTTTCTACACGGCAGAGATCACCTCCGCTCTCATGTTCCTGCACAGCAAAGGCATCATCTACAGGTCTGAATAAGGGAACACAAATAATGATGAAATTTTCTAATGAACTAGAACACAAAGGTCTCCAAAGGTTAAAATAAAGGTCTACTGCAGTAAGTCTCCATTTTAACTAGATAGTGTCTTTTAATAAGTCCTAAAATATTATTTTAAAGAATATAATAAAATCATAATGAATGGCTTGTTAAAGGAGAACCCTGCCCATTTTTTTCACATTAGTCTCAGTTTAGTAGTTGTGGGGAAAACTACACTGCCTGTAAAAAAAAAAAAAAAAAAAACAAACAAAAAAAAACAGTTGTATAATGTCTTGCTTTGTCAAGTCTGAGAAGATAACCCCTTATAACATAGCCAGGTTTATATATCAATTTAATTTTGGAGACAGAAAACCTGTGTTACAAACTTGTGTCATTTATCAAAGGATCTAGCATTTTCGGATCTTGACCGTTAGTAGGGACTGAAATTCAGGATGCTGTGTCTTGGCCTCTGTTGCATCAAATTTAACCTTTTTTTGAACTATCTTGCGATTCGTCCGGCTTTATGGGAGTGAAAGACCAAATCTCTGGGGTACTCATTTTTAAGAGGATTGTGTTAACATCTGAATGTGTATTTAGCCATCATTTCTTCACTTCCCATTTCAGCTGAAACATCAGTGTAGTTTTTGGGCCCACCAAAAAAACCCAAAACACTGAATTTGCCCCTGTGGTTTCATCTTGGCCTCCTCTCAAACTATTGAAGTTATCCCTAATGATTATTTTCCATTTAAATTCTCCAAGCAGTTCATTCAGCGCGTGTGTGTTGCAGCCAAACACTTGCGTTGGGGTATTCATGATATTGCTTTTATTCCAGCATCAGATATTTGAGGATATTCTTTGAGACCTTTTTTAAGATGCCATTGTCTACAAGCAGGGTTCAGAGTGGCAGCGGGTTCCCTGCCAGTACATGATGATAACGAAGGGCCCATCATGTGAGCTAAATACTGAGTTATATTTAGTGTAGTATATGTGTTCTGTGTCAGTGTGTTGCACTACATAGCATGACTTTTAGCTTAAGAGGCCACACACTGTTTGCATGCTACTAAAATAACATGCCATATTGGAGCTTGCACATCAGGCCAGTGTTAAGAAGAGCAGAATTTTTGCTGCCTTGTTAAAACAAAACTGTATCCCCAGTCAGTGTGTTGTGTAATATTCATGTCTTCTCGACGTGACTCGACTTGTTATCTCTCTGTGGCTCTTTTAGCTTCAGGTAAAGTTTTGAAGCTTTTCAGTTACCACAGTGTGGCCATGTTTCCTGTCAAAAAGAAGTTTTAAAGATGATGTTCTAAAAATGCTGTGTTTTTTTTTTTCATGAACCCCCCACAAACATTTAGTTGTAGCCTTAGTTTTGTTTTTAGGCTATTTGACATTTGAAGCATTTATTTCAGAGCCTAGACTGGCTGACTTTAACAGTTGTTTAGAGAGTTGAGCCAATTAAACATAAGTCTACCGGGGGGATACCCAGCAGCTTGAACAGCTGATCTATGTCATGCAATCCAGTACAAAAGCTCTACAATAAACACTGCTTTTGTGAAGCTTATACAATTTTTATGGGAGTTTGCCAGAGAGGTGTTTTGTTGTCTGGTGTGTGTTGTTTTTTTTGGGCCACTGTGTTAGAGAACACACCATGGTAATTTGTCCAGATGTACTCTTACCCTCTACTACACTTTTCACAGTCAGAAAAAAAACTTCAAGCCTGTGCGTCAGAATGTTAGTCAGCATTTCCTTTTCTCTTCTTTGGAAATTTTCACATTAGTGCAACCCTGTCTAATCCGGTTAGTCGTTCTTGTGGTGTGATACAGTTTAGTATATCAATGTTCCAGATGTTAACTGTTGGCTAATGTAATTGTGGATACCACACTGTTTGACTGACCTACTTACTGTTGAGAGAGAGGTTGAAAGTCAGACTTCAGAGTCAGACTTGTCATTCCAATTTGATGAGGTAGATGGGTGAAGGAGTTGCAGTGGGTTATTTGCATAGTGATGTGTGGTCCTCTGTAACTCAGTGAGAGCACGGTACTGAAGTGGCCAGTGTTTGGGATTAATTTCCAACTGGACATATTCACGGACAGATAGATAGACAGACCTTTATTGTAATTGCATGTATTATACAACGAAACTCTGTTGGAGCAATCCAGTTGGACCATTTGTACTGGAAAGTGTTTTGGAGCACACATACGTTGGTGAAATAGCAGAGCTGGCCACATAGCTGGAGTAGAAATCACTCTCTTAAACACAAACACTTATTGGCCTCCATTTCATTTTTCACTATTTTGTTGTTAGAGTTGTATTAAGCCCTTACATGCCCTAAACTGTGTAGTGAATGGCTGAGTGGTCATGGTGTGTCAGTATTGGAGCTCAGTTTTGGTTTGTTAGACTGCGAGGGAAAGTCACCATTAGCATCATCACAGTTACACAATCAGTTTACGGCAGAGAAGAGCAAACCAGATTACTCCAAGCCAAACCAGTGTTGCTTGACCAGCAGTTTCAGATCTTGACCATTAGTAGGGACTGAAAATCAGGATGCAGTTCTTTTTTTTTTTTTTTAGGTTTACACATCTCCCACATGTAATTCATCTTCAGCATGTGCTATTACATAGTATCTTCTGCCCAGCTCCAGTCAATCTCTGTAAAATGTCCCTTGTCTAAAGGCCTGATCACAGATTAGAGCTGGCAGGTTTAATCTCTCTGTCAGATAACAAAGCACCAGCTGCCACAGCAGCACCAGCAGCACACACTGGGAAAGATGCATCCACTGATATTATAATACATTTTATTTTAATTTCAAGTGATATTAAGACATGATGTTATTGCTTTATGTGGGGTTTCTTTTAGTATTTTGTATGCCAACACATGTCATTTATCAATTTCATTGCCCAGAACACTATGACATTGTTTTCAATCTAATAACCTTAGTAATAAAAGAAAGGGTGTGACATGACAAAATAAAACAGGGTAGCTAAGAAGCTTGCTTTTCTGTAGGTCCTTTGGTGATATGTTGTTTAATTTGATAATTAAAACTAAATGATTAATTTCAGCAGTCAAAGGAAATCAGTTTGCTTTAGAAGGAAACAACCACATCTGATTTACTATGCTGTAAGAATCTGTTCCAGCAAAAAAAACAGTAACTCAATAACTTTTGCCTCTCCTGCAGAATAAGAAGAATAAATATTAACATCACGGCACTTTTTCCTTCTTGCCAGCTGAAGTGGTCATCCGAATGTGTCAGACTTTTCCTGGCTGCCATTTAATCGTCAGGGAGTCGTCTGTCAGTGTCTCCTGCTGCCACAGAAGCTTCACTGTTTTCAGAGGACTGGGTTTTTTTTTGTCTCAGAACACGTTTCTACCTCTATCAGATACAAGTAGAAACATCACCTACAGGGTTCGACTGGAGATTGAGCACAGACATTTTAGCAGGCCGCTGATTAGCTGGATAACAATGCCCCAAGACACATATCTCATTTCCTGTGACTTTCTGTGTTTCTCGCCTTTCAGGGATCTTAAATTGGACAATGTTCTTCTTGACAAAGATGGTCACTGTAAGCTGGCAGACTTTGGCATGTGCAAAGAGGGCATTTTTGAAGGCGCAGCCACAGGAACTTTCTGTGGGACCCCGGATTACATTGCCCCCGAGGTCAGTTTCTATACTTGTTCTGAACAAACATACAATTTAGGACCCATACGTACTAATAATGATAGACCTTTACCCACCACACCTGTGGTACAGGACATTTTGTTGCTGTTTTATATATTCAGTTTTTAATATTAACATATTCTAGCAAAGAATAAGTTCAAGCACATTTAGCTTCCTGCAGCCCAGGTCTTCTGAGTTCATATGATGCAGTTCCAAGTCCCTTCCCCTCTCCATCACACCACCTCACTAAAAACAAACACTGCGGTCACTGCCCGTCACTCCAAACTCCCTCCCTCCTGACTGGAAGGCAGAGTACCTGTGAGGTCAGCTAGTGAATGGCACTGTTGATTTGACAAGTCTCAATCCCCTCATCAGAATGTGTCTTCACAGACGTGCTTGGTTTTCATAATGAGAGATTAAGATCTGTGTCCTCATGTTTGAGACATTTTTCTCTGACCAAGGCAACACTTGCTCCTCAGTGAAGCCTCACTGGCAACGCACTAATCAAACACATCTAGCCTCTAATGCTGTCTGTGCTGTGATGGTTAACTTGTATGCTGTGACATTTCCACAGATCCTGCAGGAGATGCTTTATGGGCCCTCTGTTGATTGGTGGGCTCTCGGGGTGCTACTGTATGAGATGCTGTCAGGACACGCCCCCTTTGAGGCCGAAAATGAAGATGACCTCTTTGAGTCCATCCTCAATGAAGAGATTGTTTATGCATCTTGGCTCAGCAAAGAGGCAGTGAATATACTCAAAGCTGTGAGTCTTTTTTATTTTGTTTTCACAGTAAGTGGTTCACCAACTGTAAAAATTGCATGATGGATACAGTTGTGTTACTGTAGTCTTTGTCTTTTTGGCAGACATACACCTTCCTCAGATTGTCCCTGTCGGACTTTTCTCACATTTTACAATTGCAGGAAATGTCTGTCATTACTTCAGTTTAAAAAAAGCTTTATAGAGGAAATCTATTCTCACTGGAATTGTGACCAGCATTGTTGAGACAAACTAGTAAGTTGCGTGAGCATTTACAAAAAGACCAATTCCTGGCATTCCTGGACAGTGTAACACGAGCCTGTGGTGTGATATATTTAGATATCAAAGGTTGCTCAGCTTTGCTCTGCATTTCTGTGAATGAGGGTTTGCTATTTGTTGTCCTTCAGACTGACTGAGACGGCAGCTCGGACTGGCAGCCCTGTGGAGCTCTGCCAGCCAGCTGTTTGGCCTGGGTCTCTTACATAACTATATTAAGGCATGGTCTGCTGCCCAGCCACAGCACACCAGCTATAAATACAACGACACCTCCTGACTCCATTCCTCCCCTCTTTGCACCCTGTTCTCCTTCTCGAATCCTTGTTGTTATGCCAACACGCTTGAGGAAGCACTGGACCAATCACTCCTGGTGATTTGTGTCACTGATCCCGGTGTCACACGTTATGTAAAGATGCATGTTGGTGTGAGTGGACTTGAACTCTGCTGCACTATTTATACCAAAGGTTGATCTGTTGCAAGGTTCTCCTTGATCCTGTAAGTAAGTTCATTGAGAAGAGTTGTCAGGTTGTTCCAAGGATATCTATAGAACGTATGTGACACGTTTGTTGGTTTGTTTGATGAGAATAATTACTGTTTAAATAATAACTGAAGGTTATTTTAGTTATTTTTGTAAAGATTCTGTATAAACAGGTGGACACTGATAATCAGATGAAGAAATCAATTAGTGTTGAAACAAACATTTATTTTCATTTGTTTTCTTTAATTGATTAATCAATTAATGTTTAAAATATTAGAAAACAGCATAAAATATCTAAAATGACATCCTCAAATTGCTTCCTTTGTCCAACAAACACTCTACAACCCATTGACTTAGATGATTTATCGATTTAATCAAAATTGTTGATATGTTTTCTGTCAGTCAACAAATTAAATAATTGACTAAAAGTTCCTGCACTAGTGTTTCTTTCTGATTGCTTTGAATGTTTCTGCGGGTGTAGTGGAGAATGGCTTCCTCATGCAGTAACGCTGACACGGCAGGTCTGGTGCTGAGGATGGTACAGCTGACGTGTAGCCATGGAAAGATGGCATCAACTTCAGTGGAATATTAACTTTATTAAGTTTTGTGGTCTGGAAGCCCCTGAACTGATTGACCTCCTGCTGGTCTGTCTAACTCAGTTATTTCCACTTCAAGGACCATACTGGTGCACTGGTGTGGTTTCTAAATAGGTTTTAACACATTAACTGCAAATCACATCATTAAAAGCACCCTCAAAGCTACATATCCCTGCACGAAACTGGATAAGTGTTAAACTGTAATGTTTCTTTACCCTCTCATAAAAATATGTCTTCATGTTAACAGATGGTAGATCAATCTATTATGTGAGGCATGTGATTTTTTTTATTTTTGTTTGATCTCCACTTTAGTGCCGTTCTTCTTTGTCTGTGTTGCTTAATTGCTTTCCTTTTTGCTCTGTTAGTTTTGCTGGTGCATGTGGTGTTGTTTAGGCCTCTGGTAGTTAATAGTGTTTGGAGCTTATATGGCAAGACATTTTAATCTTCCCAATGACTTTGAGTTAATCTGGACACTGTCACCAAGGAGACGGAGGCTTCTTAGTTTGTTGTGGCCTAGTCTGAATGTCACCGCCAGCCCTAAGGTGTGCACAAACTCCACAGCCTAAAGAGGGCTGTCCAAAAACACATTTGTTTTTTTTTTCCAGTTTCCTCCCAGGTGGGGCTTGAAACAGAGTTTGTCAATTTTGAGTTTGGGCCTCTCCCTCTGGTATCTTCCGCCAACTACTACTTTGGTGGCAGACAAACGGTTTGAGTTCAACTATGATTCAATATTCTATTGTTTTACCGTGTACAACACCAGAAAGTTGAGACACCCTAGCTGCACTGCATTTAACCTAGTTGAACTCTGTCCAACTTAAGCATTGTGGGAGGCACCAGAGTTGGGAGGCGGGGATTGACTGGATGTCATCCTGGCTAAAGTCCATTTTTTTTGTTACTCCCAAGAAAATCTAGACTCATCTAGTTGAATAACATGTATCACCTTTCCTCACTTTGTACAGACTCTTAAGGCGAGACACCACAGTCATATAGGCATTTGTTTGCAAATTTTACTCGTATCACAATGAAACTTTGTGTTTTTTATTTTTTCATATGCAAAGTAGGTATTTCTTCATTAAATATGCACTGATTTGCATATCACACTAATCCATTTTCCAAGTGTCAGATGGATTTTTTGGGGTTTTTAACATACTAAATGGACAGACATTTATAGTTATAATGGTTTATCAAAAAAAAAAAATTCTTGGATTTATTCAAAATATACCACTCCTATGTGTGACAGACCCTTTTTTCCCCCCAGATATTTCCAGATAAAGTGTCTTGCTATAACACCTAAGAAATGATGTGTAAAATTATGATGCTCTAACTGCTTTGAAGGGCAAGGAAAATGACTTGCCGTACAGGAAACATGTAATTTTGAGAAAACAGCTGTTAAGGATTAGCTAACATAAAAGAAACACTTTAAAAATGGATTAAATGATTAAAAATGACTGTGTCACATGAACACTTCTCTTATAGATATAGGATATTTGAACTAGCTAAAACTGCTCTAGAGAACAAACTTTCAAATTATATATGATTCAATATGGAGAGTTTTAAAAAGACCAGTTGAACTTTTACATAGAAAGTGCTAACAAAGAAATTTACGGATTTGACGGACTTGGCATATAATAGACAAATAATAATGTGTGTGTGTGTGTGTGTGGGTGTGTGTGTGGGTGTATGTGTATGTATATTATCTCACAATAATTTTCTATATGTTTTACAGATTTGATGATGACTTCTAAAGTGTCTGTGAATTCATCCAACTTTTGGTTTTTATAGTTCTTGACCAAAAACCCGGCCCGGCGTCTGGGCTGCGTGGCCTCAGAGGGAGGAGAATACGCCGTGACCAGCCACGCCTTCTTCACTGGCATCGATTGGGAGAAGCTGAATAATAAAGAAATGGAGCCACCCTTCAAGCCCAGGATTGTAAGTGAATGACTTTACTGATTGCATGATAGTGTTTATAAATGACAGTGAAGACACTCAACTTTGTCTCTGACTGCTTTTAACTAAAATGTTTCTGCTGATGAATAATTCTTTATTATTCCCCTCCAGAAAACTCCAGAGGATGTCAACAACTTTGACCCAGATTTTACCCAGGAAGAGCCCACCCTCACGCCCATCGACGACCCTTTGATCCCTTCCGTCAACCAGGAGGAGTTTCGTAACTTCTCCTTCACTTCACCTGAACTGGTAGAGAGCTAAGAGACTTCTCATTTATCCACGAGACATCCTGCACTTGTCTCACTGTCTATGGCTTCGTTTAAGACAGTTCCCAGTGGTACATACAGTACGAGGTTGTCACATTCCCCAGAGACATGAGGGTGTAAAGTGCCGAGGAGTCATCCAAACACGTGCTCGACGAGAACCACGGCTGCACCTGATGAACTCTTAAGCACTCCTCTAATTCCTGAAAAAGTGGCTTGTGATCAGCTTTTGAAATGACATTTAAGGCTTGAGTGGGACCCTTTCATGCAAGTCTCTGTGTGGAAATGGTCTCTTTGACATGTGTTTCAAACTTATTTGACAAAGGTGTACAATGTTAGAATTTTATTATACATTTGCTTTGGCTTCCAGTTACTTCAAATGAAAAAGCACTTTTTGGACATAAGGACATGGTTTGTGTTTCATTTTTGCTTCAGCACTGTTCAGAGAAAGGAAGAAATCAAGAGACTGCCAGAGGTTCCCAGAAAAGTCAAGCTGCCAGATAATATCCTGGAAGGACTGAGTGAGCGAATAAAATAGTTTCTCAATGATGTGACTATGGAAAAAAACTAGACATACATACTTTTGGTAAATCAGAGTTGAATCCCTCCACTTTAAAAATAAAAGGTTAAAACTTTAATGAGGCTTGAGAAACAACAGTGTAACCTGCTCACCTTAAATGGATATTTCACCGCTGGAAAGACTGTCTTTTAATAAAACTGGACTGTCTATGCAGTAGCAGTTGGATAGACAGTCCAGTAAACTCTGATAGCACCACTGGGTAACAAACTTGGGCAGTGTGTGTGCTAAGCTAGTCTTGAACGTTGAAACATGTATTGTACAGTACTGTGCAAATGTTTCAGGTAGTTTGGGACAAATGCTGTAAAGTAACAATGCTTTCAAAAATGTTAATAGATTATATACATCAATTAACAAAATGCAAAATGAGTGAACAAAAGAAAAATCTAAATCAAATCAATATTTGGTGTGACGACCCTTTGCTTTTAAAGCAGTATGAATTCTTCTAGGTACACTTGCACAAAGCCAGGGATTTTGTAGGCATGTTGTCAGGTGTAGGATTAAACAATTATATCAAACAGCTGCTAAAGATCATCAATTCAAGGTTGAAACAAAAGGATTAACTGAAACAGAAACAGCTGTGAGTGAGGGACTGGGTGAGGAACATCCAAACAGGGGTTTCCAGAAGTGCTGTCTAAGCTTCTTTGAAGAAGCACAAAGAAATAGCCAACGCTGAGGACCATAGACGCAGAGGCCGGCCATGGAAATTTATTGCAGCAGGCGAAAGGCCCATCATTCTTACTTCCCTTGGCATTCGGAAGATGTCCAGCAGGGCCATCAGCTCAGAGCTGCAGAAAACAGTGGGACCCTGGTACATCCATCAACTGTTCGGAGAAGTCTGGTCAAAAGTGGCTATCGTGGAAGACATGCGGCCAAAAGGCCTCCGACATGGAAACAAGGCCAAGTGACTTCATTATGCACAGGAAATGGGGTGCAGAAAAATGGCAGCAGGTGCTCTGGACTGATGAGTCAAAATGTGAATATGAATATTTGGCTGTAGCAGAAGGCAGTTTGTTTGCCGAAGGGATGGAGAGCGGTACAAGTATGTGTCTGCAGGCAACAGTGAAGCATGGTGGAGGTTACTTGCAAGTTTGGGCCTGTATTTCTGCAAACAGAGTTGGGGATTGACTTAGAATGAATTATCTCCTCAATGCTGACAAGTACAGGCAGATACTTTGCAATATCGTCAGGGAAGCATCTGATTGGCCCAAATTTATTCTGTAGCATGGACTATGTTAAGTGTAAAGAAGCACCAGGAGTCCTGGGAGTGATGGTATGGCCTCCACAGAGCCCTGATCTCAACATCACCGAGTCTGTCTGGGATTACATGAAGAGAGAGAAGCAACTGACACTGCCTAAATCCACTGAAGAACTGTGGGTAGTTCTCCAAGATGTTTGGGCCAATGTACCCGCTGAGTTCCTTCAAAAACTTCTTACAGGTGAATCTAGACAACCTGATGTTGTTTTGAAGGCAAAGGGTGGTCACACCAAATACTGATTTGATTTAGATTTTGATGTGTCCACTCAATTTGCATTTTGATTGAAAAATATAATATATTAACATGTCTATTTTTGAAAGCATTTATTTTGAGGGCCATTCAAGACTAGCTTAGCGCATACACTGCCCCAGTTTGTTACCCAGTGGTGCTATCAGAGTTTGTACTGCTGCATAGACAGCATAGACTTGCCTCATGCACAGTACTCTATGTATATAAGTATGTCTCAAGTACCCCTCTGTCCATATATGTCCCAAAGCTTTGGTGTAACGCACAGCGATTCCACTTCTGTTTTTATTGGTGCACAATTAATGCAGCAGCACCGTAACTTGTCCCTGGCACAGGGCAGCTGCACTGCTATCCTCAACAGCTGGTGGTGCTTGACTCTCTGCCTCTTCCTCCTTCATATGCCACAGTTCCGCCGCACTGTATTCTGGCTCATGTAAGTCGCCCTGAATGTCTGACTCCAGTTTTACACTAATACAATTGTTTTCTTCCATATCTACAGGAACATCGACTTCTGTCTGGGGTTGTTCTAACCACATGATTTTGGACAGGATAGTTTGATTTTGAGGAGCCACTGCTCTCTCTATCATACTGTCAGCATACAAAAGCATACAAAAAAATGAGGAAGTACAATCTGTAGTTCAAACAACAACATATTAATGGGGAGCTCTGGGTGAAGGCAACATGGACGGAAGTTAACCATTGTTCATTTGCATATATTACCCACATTGTAATGATACAAGGTTAGTTGAAAATACAATGTTTTCCTTTTATATAAATTAGGTTAATTCATTACATAAAACATTTAAAAGGATAATTTGTCTAAGTTACGGGGGTCAGTTTCAGATAATAGGTGATATGTATTAGTTATCAGTCACACCCTGTAAGAAAAAACTTGGCATCGGTCTCAGTGACTCCACGTAAATTTGATCAGCCAGGCATGTTGAAGATGATGCAATATTTCATCTGAGGTGAAAGTACTGTGGGGATTTGTGTTGATTGTGAAATCTCAAATGTTTGGAGATTTCCTCACATGGTTGTTCTGGTAAGAAAGTGCTAGTACGGTGTTAGAGAGTTGCCAGAATGAAATGTGTCTTGGTGGCTCTGAATGCTTCTCAACAGTAATAATAACTCTGCCTGCTGCTCTCTCCTTACACACGCTCTATCTTTCTCTCAACAAACAGAGCCTTTGAAAGCTCCCAGCTGTGTGGGCAGACTGCCTGAGTAATGGGAACTCACATGGGGGTATTTTAAAACATGCAAATCCAAGAAAGTTATTGAATAGTCTCCCTGCTGAACACTTAATCCCACTCTGCAAAAACATAGAAAGGAAACTAGTATGAGGTAGACAGAGAGAGAAACAGTAACATTAGCCAGTCATCTGGTGGGGCAGAATAAACAGGAAACCACACAACGTCACTACTGTCGCCTTTGATAGAAACAGGAAGACACAAGAAGAGAATTATGCTTTTGTGATACTTTGAGAAGCATGAACAGTATAACATTAACAGTAACATTGTGTGCTGCTGGTAATAGAAATTGAAAGTGTTAAAACAAAACAACAACAAAGGAAAACAGTTTACTTGCATCGAGAGGAAGCTGCACAGATATGAACAGCCCCGACCTCACAAAACAGAGATAGACTCTTCCTCTTGGTTGGGGGGGGGGGGGGGGGTGGTCTTCAGGATCCACATCACATCTGTTTATCTCCTCGGCCCCCTGGTTTGTGGTGAATCGTGCTGCTAAATACTGTAAATTGGTAGCTTCGTATACAAAAATGCCCATGTATAATCTGAAATTGAAAACAGTGCCACTACAGCACAAAACAAAGAGCTACTCTGCTAATGCAAAGTTATGTTTACTTACATAAACTACATTTGAGCTGTGGAGTCTAATACAGCAGCTAAGCTCTTCCTATCGTGCTTCCATCCCTCTTAAGTCTTAAACATCATTTTAACTCAACATTTAGAAGTGCATTGTTCTCAGAGATTTAAATGGACTGTACTTGTATAGTACCTTTCTAATCTTCCGACCTTTCAAAGCACTTACACTTCATGTCACTTTTAACAGCAGGCAATTATTCTACTTTAAGCTTTCCCTAACAAAGATGGTTGTGTGTGCTTTACAAATAGTGGGACATTGGATTAAACAAATTGACTTTTTGTTTACCCATTAATGTGGCCCTGTTTGCACCTTTCCTCAGGTTATGTCTGAATGAGGGGAAAAAGATTTAAGAGCCTTGTCTCAGCTTTCATTACTGAGACTTACTGATGGCTGCCAGCAGTGTCTCTGCACTGCTTGATTGAATCAGTGTTTGACCCTGCTGTCCTGCCTGTATGATTGATACCCCCAGAAGGAACAACGGATAATGAAAAAGACTCTCCACAAGGACATCACCTGAGTAATTCCCTGGAGAAATCTTTTGCCACTTGTTGGACTTCTCTGCATCAACACATTAAGCTCTGTGAGCTTATACAAACTCAGCACCCCAACATGCAGTTGTTGTAGGGGTTCTTACTCTGTCTAGGAATTGGCTACAAGGATTAATACATTGACTCAGATACCAAAGCAGAATCTAATCAAAGGGTGGCCATTATTACAATGCCATCATTCTCATTCTCATTCTCATACATTTAAATATTTCCCTATCAAAGCTGTGCCAATGGTGTTACCTCACAGCAGGGAGTGAACACACTAAGACAAAAGAAAAGGTGGTGTCACAAACAGAACCAGAAGGAGTTCATATTGTGGTATGTGTTACTCTAACATTAATCTCACATTGTTTGCTCTTACAGAGAGGACTGGTATGGCTTGCAATATACCGACATTTCAGGTGGCACCATGCGCTCACTTTCCTGAAGTGAACAATAGCACAGAAAAGGGTGTGGCTAGCACCATAGACAACTTCCAGACAATCATAAAGTTATTCCGTATGACTTAATAAACAAACATTTGCTACAACTGAGTAATCTTTACGCTACTTTAGCTACTAAGTGTAGCTATTAGCATAGCGTAAGAAGCAGATGAATCCAGACTTAGTCACACTCTGGTTTATGGGCCTTAACATTTTATTCACAAGGTATTGCAAAGCTACACCAGGTCTTTATTTGTCCTCAAGTCAAAGTCTGCAGCTCTACCACTTACCCAGGTGTTGGGCCACCCAGCCAACATTTCTGGGAAGGGATAACTAAAGCTTTGCTTAAATGTCTCAGCCAGATGTAACAACTAACATGTGCTAAGTAAGAGAATGAAGAATTGTATGGCAAAGGGGTTGGGGAATAATTTTCCTTCCTTTTTTGGCAACGCAAGAATGCCAGGCAACGTAAATAACTGCCAAACATGATGCACAGTGGTAAGGGAGGAGGAGTCTGACTGGACAGAAATGTCCTAAGCAGTTCAGGAAAATAACTAAAACCATTTCTGAACCAGTGAGTGTAAAGTGGGTTGTAGCTGAAATGTCTCATAAACACACATGTTGGTAACACTAATACTTGGTCGAGCTGAGCACTAGAAAAACATGTCTTACTGTCATACCCACTTTCTTACAGCAATTTGACCTACATTTAGATAACTGTATTGAATGTCAAGCTGAAAATACATGCTTTGCTCTAACATGTGGGCACGTGTAAAAAATGTGGGCAGTCTGGTAGAGTGATGTGAAGACATCAGAGTTCACATACAAGCAGCTGCTTAAACTCACAACAATATGCACATTAATACATCAATAATTATAATGATAATATAACGAACTGGGCCATTCTACATAATGATTACTTTTACTTTTGGTAAAAGAACATCTTATCTTTTCTTAAGTAAGATTTTAAATGGACTTTTACCTGTAACAAAGTATTTTTACGTATTAAGTATTGCAACTTTTACTTAGTTAAAAGATCAGAGTACTTCTTCCACTATTGGCTAGGTCACTTAACAAAACAAGGCCTTTATCAGCAAAACAACCACAAACTCCTACAAATCTAGGCATTTTAACATACAGTATGCCTGTACACAGAATAAAGTATACTGAACCAGATGAATCCAGAAAATCGTGAAAAGAGTATTATTATAAAATCAAAAGAGATATAAATAGGACTAATCTATATACTCATGTGATGTCTATTGTGGTGTCTACACCTACAGTTGCTCCAAACCCTATAACTTTGGTCAGAAATTAAAGTAAATGTGTGTGTTTTTACTCGGTGAGTCTCTCTGGTTTCCTGTGCGCGTCCTCGATGAATAAAAGCATGTGACTGCGCGTCCCCGCGGAGGCAGGGGGAGTAGTGCACGGTGATCCTCCACTGTGCAACATTGTCTCCGCGTCCGCGAGGAAGATCTCTCCAGCGTGGCACCGTCTTCAGACAAGACTAGTAGACGAATGGGCAGCCTTTAGCGGATGAAGGCTTGATTTTGAACGAATTATACACATAGAGACCTCGTATGCAACACGCTTGAGGATTTACGGATCCATATCAGAGAAAAAATAGTGGGATTTTGGTTCATTTGTCGAAGGGCCCGGATACAGCTTGATACAGATAGAGGGATTCAACTCAGGTCTTTTCGTCCTGACATGGACACAGGAATTGTACCAGAAAAGAAAAGGTAACGACAACGCTAACGCTATGTAGCTGGCTACTCTTATGTTATTATTGTTGCAGTTTAAGAGCTGATTTAACAACTTAAGTATTCGGTGGGATTCGATTACTGTGTGACATTATGGGGTTTAGTTGAAGGTTAACTGCTAGTTTATCGTGTTTGTTCGACAAAGTGCGTTTGCTAGCGATGCTATTATCGTTAGCATGTCGCTAATGTAGCAAGCCAGCGGGCATAGAACTAGAGCTATTGGCATTAAACTGTTTACCAACCAAGCTACTGAGGTAAACTTGTTGTTGCAGGAAACTTAACTTGGTGGCTGGTCAGATTAATTTGTGTCTGTTTACCTTGATTAAACCTTAATTTTACCTCATAGCTAACGTGGTTTTGTTGTGACCTCCTAGATGCAGCTTGAGCGTTATTTAACGTTAACTTTTGTTTTGACTGACACTAAACGCTTTTTTAATATTATATCCTATAAATAGTCTATTACTGGTGATGTTCTGTTTGTGTTTCATGTGCCAACACTGAGTGTTCAGTGACAAGGTGCCAGCGGTCATGTGAGCAGTGGTGCAACAGTTCCTGTTGAAATATTTAACGTTAGGGTTTCGTCAAGCTGGCCTTCATTTGAACAATCAGTTCAACCACTAGTTAACGTTACATTTAAAAGTTATTTCAGTTCACAAAACTTTTTTCACTATGAGAGATGTTCAACTTGAATCATCAGCCAAGTTCCCAAATATCTTGTTAGTGGCTGCTAAGTTTATCTGCACCAGAAGCCACTTGACAGTTAAGCACCTTGTGGGGGTCAATCTAGTGTTTTGGGAAGTAGTGATACATACAAGGTGCAGGACGACAATTCACCTGGCCAATTTGTTCACAAGTTCAATAGACAAGTCAAATAAGGGTTGCAGCTGAATTTTTTTTTTTTTATAATTAGTCTTTTGAGTACTCCTTAGTGTAAAAAAAACGAAAGAGATATGTCTATTAAATGTTACAATATACAGGGTTCAACATTAATGGGTTTTTTCTTCCAGGAAAAAAAACTATTTGCCCACAGTCAATTTTTACATGCCTTTATACCAACTAAGTTAATTGTCATTTAATTCAATTAAATTTATTGAAAGGCACACTTGTGCTTAAGCTCTTTAAACTTGCTGCCATCTTTTCATGAGCAGATATTAGAAAGTTTGTCCAGATGGTATCACAACCTTAGATTTGTGGAAGTTGCAGGGCCTTCTGCCAAAAAACAGAACTTTGACACGGTAGTTGCCTAAACCTAACAAAGTAGTTTTGTTGCCTAAACCTAACCAAGCTGCAAATACTAACTGGAAAAATATTAACTGAAAATAATTTAAAAGAAACCCTAAAAAAATCTAATGTCTAAAAATAAATAATAAATTCTGACTTTTGGCTGTCTTAGGTCAAAGACTTTATTTATATATTATATATATATATATATATATATATATTATATTTGACACCAGAACCTCCTATAACCTATGTGGCCTTTATCACTCTTTATACTAACAGTTTGTTGCTCTTTGAAACAGCAAAGTTAGTCTTGGTTTTACTTGTTGTATGACTGCAGATGCACTTCTAACTCTGAGACAAAAATGTTTTGAACCGGCTCCCGGTATATCAGCCATTGCAGAGTAGGGTTGGGCCGATATGTCCATCGACGATGACTGACAGACATCACAACAGTGAGCTGGCATTGTGATTGTAAAACCAAATTTTCACATTATACCAGCCTGTGAAAGCAGGTTTTAATGACCACGAACATTCTTATTGTGTTTAAGTATGCTTTGCACCTGCCTCGAAATTCTCTTCTTCCCCCACTCTGACACACTCACACACACCTACACCTCAGGTAAACACCCTGACTTGCCCCGCCTCCATCTCCCCTGCTGCTTTACCTGGTCGGTGTGTAAAATATCAACTTGGACTTGTAAGTTAATAGTGTAGGCTTAGTCTGACCTACAAGCAAAAACCCAGAATACTTAAATTATAATCATTTGAAACACAGACAACCAATAAATAGTTTTTTTTGTTTGATAAATAAGTTTAATGATTACAAATAAAAATGATTTAGTTTTTCTGTCCAGCCTAACTGATTGATTTGACCTGTATTGACTAATTGTCATAGAGTAAAACTATTAATCAAGCCTGGCAGAGTCTACATTGAGTGTAATTTGTAGGTGATCTTCATGGTGTTTCATGACATAAAAATTAGTGTTGGCTGTAGTATAGGATAATTTGCCCTGCCTTCCCAGATTCTGCATCCAGAAAATTACCGATCTGGGCCATTTTATCATTGACAGACATGCTAAATAGGTCCTGGTTCCAATTTGGGTGAAGGTAACAGCGGTTTCAAGACCTAAAAATCATTGGACAAAAAACATAATGTCATAAAAGTGATTTAACCTGGTCAGCAGAGTCAAACAAGTGGACAGGGTACTTTGGGATTCTTTTGCTGCCAGCTGGGGGTAAACTATTAACAATGAAATTCTTCCACAGGGGAGAACAATAGATTAATAAAGTTGTTAAGATTATATTAGAGCTGTTCGTGCCATGCACTTATGCCAAAATGGTTTAGTGGCATTAATTTACTTGTAAGCTGACTAGATAATGGTTAACATGTATTTCTCATCTTTTCATTTTCAAGTAATTATCCTCTTAAGGATGTGTTCTTGTTGTAGACTGCATCAATTATTCATACTCTGCCAATTAGAAGTTTGGCACCTTGGGTCAATATCCTGTTTAGTTTTAATAAATATGTGTTCAGTTTGACCGCAGAGAGAAAAAATATCAAGATTTGCGGTCTGGTTTGATGCAGTTTTGGCTGGTCTCTAGAGGTGCCATTGTCTTATTTCTGTCTCATCTCTTAATCACTAGGCTTGACGTCAAAAGGAGTGGCCAAACGTGTATAGCGATTCACTGCCTGGCAATTTGCAGGTTGCCCTGAGACATTCAAGTACAAGGGCTACTTCTGTGCAAGCTAGTTAGCACAGGTCATAGGTATGGATTGTTTGTGTGGATATATATATATATATATATATATATATATTAGTGACAGAAGACAAAAATAAAGAGAATATGTGCTGAAGGCTTAATTTTATCAGATTGCTAAATCCCTGCTTTCTGTAGATGTTCATTGTAGCTTATAGAGCAAGCATGTTCCTGTTTTTAAAAAATGCAAAGAGAGAGCAGCTTTTGCCAGCAAGGTATGTAAATAAAAACAAGCAGTTTAGAATTCCTTGTTGTGTTTTGTTGTTTAAAATCCCACATTTATCTGTGTAATTATGTATTTTTTCATTTGCACTTTCATAATGACTTTGAACTTGAAGTCTCATGAACAATGAGAGGAAGGAAGTATGATAACAGTACCTTCTACTTTACTACCACATTTGTCCAGAATTCTGGGTCTGTCGGATCCAAAAAACACCTTTTGAGGATTGCATCTTTCTTTCTTTCTTTGCATTCGACTCATTGCCCATACATGTACTCATGGATGATGCCAGTGCCTGTCAACAAATATTGAAAACTATTAAGGATTTTTCTGACTTTATGATGTCAAATTGCTACAAATTCTTAAAGTCATGCTGAAGAAAAAGTCTTAGCTTTAATATAATTGCACCTTATTTGAAGGACCAAAAGTCAGCTGCGTAGATGGTCAAAGTTGCAAAACTTTGTCTAAAAGTGTAAAATTTGAGCGTAAGGCAAAAATCAAGACAGTACAACTGTCCTTCCCCTTGTTATATGTCACATTTAAGTGGACAACAAGTGTGAACGTCTGTGGTCAGAGCAGCTCCAGTTGAATGACGTCACGTTCCAAGGAAAACGCTCCCTTGGTGGGCAAAAAGATTTTGAAGTTGTTTTCTGCTCCCTGCCAACCAGGAAACAAGTAATACACTGTTACTTTGAGTTTGTTACTTTGGCGTTGCCAAAATGCTGGATGGTTGCTGTGCTGTCGGATGCACTAATCGACGAGGAGACAAGCCTGGGATGTGTTAGGTGAGGGCCCTACAAGGTAATCGTAAACATTACCATAGTCGAGTGCTGGCAGGGACCTGGTGGTTTTTAACGGCGGAAATACGGCAGCGGGTGCTGTATAGGGATCGCAAGTGCCCAACAATAGCAGTTTGTGTCCATAGCTTTGTTTTTCTTGAGTTGAGAGGTGATCCAAATAAAATTTAACGCCTTTTACGGCATCTCTTACGAGGGAGTCCGGTGTGAGCCGCTATCTTGGTCTGTTGTTTTTGCCCTCCAGGTCACCGCGCATGTGACTGAAAACTATGACTTGAAAGTAGTGAATTATTTGTGTTAAAAGAAACTTAAGAAATGTTTTCAGGCTGCTACTGCTGGTGACCATCCAGTTTCAATGATGGGTATATTGTGTATGAGATAAACCAAAACCCAAGTTTGCTTCATATATTTAGATCAGTAATCCTTTGTAATATAATGTGTGTAACTCCCCACACTGTAGTGGTAGTACCTACGTACAACAGATAATTGTTATTACCACATATGCAAGTTTTTATACTCATGCCAGAAAGGAAAATTAGCACTAATTCAGGCATGACAAAACAATATCAACTCAAGATGCACTTAGCAGCTTTTTCAGAGTTTCAAACCTCCCCTCAAGGTCTTCATTAATGAATGGAGTCAGCTCAGGCGGGACTATTTACAAGTTACAACATTTCCAATTTGTATAATGAAAGCTAAGCAGAATCAAACAGAAAAGAAACAGTTGGTTTAAGGAAATTGAAATGCAAACATATAAATATTAGATGGATGGATAGATCAATTACTTATTGACTCGCCTCCACTGAAGCATCATACACAACTAAAGCTGTACATATTTTCAATCGATTAATCTAACTATTTTATTCGCTTAATCTAAGCAGTTTTTGAAATTATTTTGGAAGTCCATTGCTCACTAGCTCCGAATACTATACAGTCAAACCATGGCTCACAGGAGGGGTGGGATGTTGATCAGCCTGCAA